ACTTGCAAGTTGTTTCCTTTGCTACTTAGAAATCTCACATAAAATTAGTACAAGGCTGAAAGGAAGATAATTTTTTTTGCTTTGGTTATAGACCAGGAAATATATGCAGTAAAACTCAGTTAAAATCAGTGTGGCTACAAAGAATAACATCCTCTTTGAGATCCTTATCTTACATCGCATTTAAAATGTGACACACCAGATACGAGTCACCATGTTGAAGTACCTAATTTTTCAACTGAAGAGGTGGCTTTGTATTTCTGGTGAGTAAGTATATCATTATTTTGGGACATTTGTTCATTTCCAGTGAAAAGTATTTTCCAGTGAAAAGTCTTGTTTACTGTAGCTTCTAGATGTTCTTGTTTTAAAAAAGATAAAGAAAGTTTAAAAAAGATTAAGAAAGTTTAAAAAAGATTAAGAAACTTGTTGTCAATGTCAATTATGCCTCATTTTAGATTTAATGATGTGCTGCTAGCTGTAGTAGAAATTACTTTGGAAAGTAATGTTCTTCAAATGTTGTTTTTTTTGCTAAGGTTTGTTTGTTCAAGTGTGTTTACATAAATCAAAGCACTTTAAACATTCAGATAGATCTTATTTTTGTCATCAAATAAAGTGTGCAACATTATGTAATTTATATGCTAAATATTGTGGCATTTACATTTAAAAAATTACCATAATTACCTTGTACTGGCAATGTGGTCACTTCTTTTGGACATTCAGTAAATGTTTTAAAATATGAGGTATGGTGAAAGAGCCTGTGTTTTGGACAAAGTGTTTGTCTTCCTTTTTGGCTTAGAAAGGTGGTTATCTTGTTTTATGATTTCAAAGGGGAAAACATTCACCAGTAAAACTATACAAAGAATTTATTTTTGTACTAAAAGAATTCTGCAAATAATGACAAGACAGATTGAATAGTGTCATTTAGGTCCTGACTGACTACTGAAGGAAGTAAAGATGAGATTGTAAGTGACAGAAGCAAAGACATAGTTACTAGCAGATTTCTTCTTAATTCTCTACCTGGAAAAATCTAGAAGTGGCAGAGTAGCAAAACAGAGTAGAAAAACTCTGGTGAAAAGTTTGGTGACTCTAAAGCTGGGAGCATGTGGGAGAAAGGTATTCTGTATTAAATATTTCAAATGCAAATAGCTGGATTGAAGGAGTTTGTGGTCTTGGTTCCTTAGGTATCACATTTCATCAATGCACATAAGCAGCATTTTAAAGCAGAAATTATGCTGTGTTGTGGAAACAGCTGAAATCTTGATTAAAAATGCTCAGAAATGGAAAGAAGTGTAGGACATTCTTGTTTACAGTTAGAGCGTATTGGAGGGGTCTCTTCCAGATACACACTGTACAGCCCCCTGGAGCCTTCTTGAGGCTGAGCAGTCCTAGTGTGCCCAGCATCACCACCTGTGAAAAATGCTTCAGTCCCTTAACCATCATTGTGGCCTTAAGCTGGACTTACTCCAGTAAGTCCACATCTTTCTTGTGCTGGGGAAGCCCAAACTGGACACAGCACTCCAGGTGCAACCTGCTAGTCATCTGCTGAGACTCCAAGTCCAAACAGCTTAGCTGTCATATGAATGATGAGGAAATACACGACTCACCCTCATTTCTCTTGTTGATCCCTTGTCAATTTTAAAATTCAGAAGCATTTCTCGCAGTTCTTGAAAAAGTTTTCATTTGCTTGGTTTTGGTTTTGTTGGGGTTTGATTTCGGTCTAAGGTTAAATTCAAGAAATGTTTTCAATGTGGAAGTTTTAATTAGATTTTAAAATAGACTGTAAGAAATATTAAGATTAGAATATTACTCAAACAATACCCAATCATGTCTTGTAAGACTAGGCTTTTCTGTTATAGTGTTTTAATTTGTTGAGGAAAAGTTTTCTGAGGAATGATGCTATTCCTTGTAAAGTCTGTGAGAGCTTAGATTTTTTTATTCAGTTTGAGATTTAACAAAGAATTACTCATGAAGGCAAACATTTGAACAGCCTCACGTAAGTTATTTTAATTGAGGCCAGAAGTTATTTTAGGCTGAGAAGCTATTTTGTTGTCTTTTTTTTTTTTCCTAAGTGTAACATTTCCTCTTGAGAATTTCCCATTGTGTATTTCCAAAATACATAATCCGGATCTACTCAAAAAAGGACACTTGAGAGTTGTTTATAAATATTTATGAACTGCTGTGATACTCCCAGATCAGAGGTGATTTAGTAATGTGATGAAAAATTATTTCCTGGGAAAAAACACAATAGTTTCTTACAGATAAACGTAGTATTGGAATGCAGACTGAGAGTCTTATAGGGAAATAAACCACATGAAAATCAAAAGTTAAAGTTGCTTGTGATTTTAAAGCATATCTATACTTGAGATTAAGTCTTTGCCAACCCCAAAAAATCAGAGGTGGTGGGGCTGCCCACTTACTCCCAAATTTAGAGGTAAATTTGCCCCTTCTAATACATACTCACAATCAACAATGGTAGCTGTATAAAAGGGATAATTTTCTTTACTTATGAACCAGTTTGTATGTGTGAAAAAAGAGTATTCATTTTTACACTGTTTCCAAAAATATTTTGATGAAGACCTGAAGGGAGAAGTTATTATGACAATAATTACAGTTGTTAACTTGATGCTCAAGATAACTGGAATTGCATCTTTGATCTCCTAGTGTCTTCAGCATCCTGTGTCTCAGAAAACTGCAGCCCTACCACAAAGGTGTCTCTACTGGCTCCAGCGATTGCTTAAAAAAGGTTTATTTCCTTCTAACATGTATTCTGTGTTTTCCCCTAAAGTGTACGTGTGCGAAAAAAGTTTAATTGGAAAAGTCCTGCTTACTTCCCCATGAATGTGGCTTTCCTGTAATGAAGCCATTCCATCCTTTTAGAAAGTCAGAGGCACCTTTACACTCAAGTGCTTTGCATGGGAAGAGCTCAGCAGCTATCCCAAAGCCTGAAGGGAAGGATATGTCCCAGGGCACTTCGTGTCCTGTCTTTGAGCTGCAACATGTATGCGTAACATCAGCAAGCCCTACCTCACCTTTTTTTATGCTTGACAGTGCTCAGTGAGGCTTTGGTACAAGGACTGTAGATGAAAGGGGAATATCTTACCATTCTGGTGAAAATTTCATGAAGATTTATGCATGTGTGTGGCATGGAAAAAAATCCTGCCAGTTGTTCCTCACTGTGTTTTAGCCAGCCTTTAATTTTAACATATATTCCTGGTCTTGCAAGCAAGATTAGTGAAGATTACATAAAGTCCTTTGTTTCTGTGGCACTTTTTTTTTCTACACAAATCAGGGAAATTTTGCTTAGAAGTACCTTTTTATAGCCTTTATTAACTCATTGTCAGCTTCCTTAGTAGATCGGGAGTCAAGCCAGAATACTGTGACTTTTTTTTAGCTGTACTGTGAGCATGTGTCTCGTTGGAGGGGTCTTGCATCTTGATTTCACCTAAGCTTCTATCCTGTCTGCTTGGTTTTGTTGAAATGTTTTCTTGAATGAAGAGTTTATTCTAAGCTTCATGGTCAGCCTAACCAAAATAGAAAAAATAAGCAGTACCCTCCTTCCATGTGGTTGTTTTTTTCTTGTGTGTAATCAGGTGATTGTAGGAAAGTAGAAATTGTGTTAAACCCACTCCCCCCAAACTAAAAAAAAAACCACAAATAAAGCCCAACCAATCACATCCCACATAATTATCTGAGTAGCAAATGAGTTATGTTTAGAAAATAAAGCTGATTTTTTTACCCACATGCTTCTAATTGCTATAATGTTTGGAGCACTTAATTGTATGCTATAGCAGTGTTGCTTAGAGGTGGTTTTTTTGAGCCAGAACCAGCTTATATGCTTACATAGCCTCATAATGGATAAAGAGGCAATAATAGTTGGCTCTTTTGTATAGTGTAGGAATTTTAGTATGTTCATCATAATTATATACATTTCTGGGAACTCATAACAGAGATGCAAAAACTGTCTGATGTTTATGAAACCATAACACAATGTGGAGATGGATACCTTTATGATTACCCAAATAATTACATACATCAAATTACAAAAGTCTGTACTGAAAGCTGAATTTACTAGAACTCATTTAAATTATTAAAAGTCATGAAAAAATAAATTAGAACGAATTTCATTAGTGAAATTAAATGGACCAAGCTCTAATTCAAACTTTCTAGTACCTTCAGTTCAGACTTAATATTGACTATACTTTTTCTCCACCAAATATGGAAGTAATGATACAGTGGTGATAGTGGCATCTAAATCTATCTAAATCTTTCCAGTTACTCAGAAAACGCATTTGAAATTCATATGCTTATTTTTTTTTAACAGTTCTTTAATTCCTAATTTTGTAGCTGGTAGCATAAAATATTTTTGAGTGTTACAGGAGAGTATGTTCTCTGTCCATACACAGTCACAGGGATTGCACTGCAAGTAATTTTGCAAAATCATGGCATAAAATCTTCAGAAATGTCTAAACCTGATTTCACCTGAGTTAGTTCAAAATGTGTCTTTTTGCAAGCAACGCTGAGATCTTCCCTCAACATTTCTTAATATCCCAAATAATTTATCTTTTGCATTTATGTTTAAGTTGGGGCTGATTGCTTTCACTGCCTGGAACCTGAAAAATAATTCTGAAACAAATCCTTCAAGTTGTACTGGGGAGGTTTAGATTGCATATTAGGAGCAATTTGTTCACTGAAAGGCTTCTCAGACATTGGAACAGCTTACCTAAAGAAGTGGTTGAGTTGCCATCCCTGGAGATATTTAAAAGATGTGCAGATGTGGCACTTAGGGACATGGTTTAGTGGTGGATTTGGCTGGGTTAACGGTTGGATTCAATGATCACAGAACATCTTTTCCAACCAAAAAGATTCATTTATTTTCTGATGTTTGTGGTAGCAGCTTTCCTTTTGTTAGGCAGATGTGCTTGTGATCTCAACACTCTTACGAAAAATAGCAGTGCTTTCAATTTCTTTTGTTCTTTTCTGTCTCCGATTTCAGATATTCCTTATAGTTATTCATATCCAGGACACAGTATATAATGGGGAGAAAACTGGATCTTTCTGGCTTGACTGATGAAGAAGCAGAGCATGTACTCCAGGTGGTTCAGCGAGATTTCAGCCTTCGTAAAAAAGAAGAAGAAAGGCTGAGGTAAGAATAAAAGCATTGATCTATTTGGATTATTACAAACTGGTTTTGGAGGATACTGGAAAAGACAACTTTTTTCTGGTGTTCTATGCATTAATAGTCATTCCTGTCACACAAGCGAGAAACATCCGATGTCCTCCACCTGAATTCAGTTACTGAGTAGTCATTCATTTTTGTGTTTAGTCTATTCTAGCCTAGACCCCAGTAATGGTCTCTAAATCATCTCTGTATATTTCCTGGGTAGATGCTAACTAGTGTTCTACTTTATCAAAAGCAGAAGTTCATGTTAAGGAAATTTTTTGCTTGCTGTAGTCAGTTTCTTTTCTTTTATTCAGAAACTTTGTCTACATGCAAACATCTGAACCCATCTCTTTCCCCCAAAATAGTCAATGGGATAAGCTATCTGTTGTGTTTTAATTTTGCTTTCAGTAGTCTGTGTACAAAATGATTGCAAGCAGAAACAACCCAGAAGAAAACAAATGGAATTTGTTGGCAAGGTAACTTTCTTAGCCCAGCGTGCAGGTTTAAAAGTAAACCAGAGGAGAAATGAACCAAACTCAAGAGAGGCTACAAGTCAGAGTTACAATTTACTGAAAAGATTACAATAAATGCAATGATATGGAGAAAACAGCCCTTGTTTTAACCCACAAGGACAGATGTATAACCCAACACCCTGGAACAAGACCAGAATGGTGTTTGTTAGCTCCTGTGCAGAGCACCATGTGGCCCCACTGGTTGCAAAGCAAAAGGAAAAGGAAACCTGTTGGTCTGGATGATGGTCACAGTCTTGTCAAGAGTGGCAGTCACAGTCCTGTTGAAGTTCTGGTTCTCCTCTGCATTTGAGGAGACCTGAAATCTCAAAACCCCAAGATTATATGTGCTCAGGTTCTAGTGGTAATATCCAGTACTTCCCCCAGGGTATGGAGTTTCACAATGGGTGATTTAACTCTGTGAGTCATGGGATATTTTTGAAATCTTTGATGGTCTAGGTTGTTGCAGCTGCCTCTTAGGCCAGTTCATTGTGACCCATTAGCAGAGATGACCCCTCAGGCTGGGTGTGAAGGTGCTAATGCCCCCGCTCCCGAGGGGAGTTATCACAGCTGAGTCATTGGTATGAAGACAAAGGAACATTCCCGTCTTGCAGTGTTTTTTAACACCCATCTTGTAGTCTGAGGTGTCAGGTGTGCCCTGGGCAGCTGCTGCAAACAATCCATTTATTAACAGTCCATCAGAAATGACATAGAGGGTGTAGAATGCGCAGTTTTGGTTATACCCACATAGTGATAAACTGGTCCCAGCCCTTGTAACTAGGACACTCAAGAACTTCCATATGTGACAAAGGGACCATGGACCGAGACCTGAATTGGTAGATGCAATATTTTTCTTGTAGTTTCAACATTTCCTTGAATTATTATGTCTGATTTTTATATTACCTTCTTTGAAAACATCATTATTTATTATCTAGCATACTCTGAAGTCTCTATCTATGGTTGGCAAATGCACCTTCTCTTATTGTGCTATTCATATCTCAGGCATTCAGCACTAAACTGAAGTCAATGGAGCAGGATTATGACTGAAATAAACAGAAAACTAGGTATATGTCTTACATGGAATTGAAACTAAGGGAATCCTTTCTTTGTCAATTTTCTGTTACTGTTTCCTGAAACTACTTGGAACATTAGGAATAATAAAGGCAGCTTGTGGCACAGACCTAATTCAGTTTTGGCATGCTGTGCAAGTTCTTTTTTGGGTTGGTAGTGAAAGCTTGCTGTGGGGAGGAAAGACTGGATAAGGATGGCACACAGATCTTTTTTTTTTTTTTTAATGACTGTTTGTCATGGCATGGATTGTACTGGTTATTTTGGTAATCTTTCACAACAAAGCCAAGAGATTCTGGAAGCAGTTTTAGGAGAGTGAGTGCATGAGCTTTGTCTGGCTTTTTATAATATAACTGATTGTATCTTGCTGGAGCAAGCATACTACAGCTAGGAAGTGCTGGGGCATCTTGCCTATTCCATACAACTAGATCCTATAGTGGGAGGAGGAAGGGGAAGGATGTAAAGCATGCTCACAGAAAATTGACCAGAAAGCCTGGATAGATTGTGTTGCTTGTGTTTTATCATTTTGCTACTGAGGATTTTCATGAGACTTGATAATTGAATTATCACAAGTAGAAAACTGGTGTAAGAAGAGAGATAAGCCACTGGAAAAGAAGGAGAAACACACAGACTCAGCTTATATATGACTACGTACTCTTTTCTTCTTGCAAAGTTCATGCCTTTTGCAAGTATTAAAGTATATTAAAGTGCTGCAAATAATGAGCTGTACTGACAAAGTAGAAGTTTTGAAATGTAGGCTGATATTTAAGATATGAATTTAAATAGTTTTAATGACTTTAAAAACTGCCTGTGAAGTTCAAAGCTTACTTCTGACTTAAAAGCTATGACTTTGTGGGTTTGTTTTAAATTGTGCTAGTCTGGTTGGTTTTCATTCATTGGTTTTTTGGTTTGGGTTTTTCATTTTTTTTGTACAAAATGCAGAGCTAAAGGAAGTATGTAGCAACACATCTTTTTGTTTTATTATGTGATTGAAAATATAATCTTATAAGAAACTTCTATGATCTTGCTATATATTAGATTTTTCAACCTATAAGAAAACTGATTAGATCTTGTGTCTGATTTGATGTTCTTGACTCTATTGCATTTGTATAAGTCATCAACTGGCAAGGTTTAAAGTATAGTTTCACTTTACAAGTGAAACTTTGTAAAGCTTTGTGATCTTTTCTGGGATAAAAAAATCGGCATATATATTTTATATGTTGGACTTTTAGACTTTTGTTAACAAATCCAAAACTAAGCTAAATCTGAAGGTATGTTTTTGTGGTGTTTTTTTTTCGTCCTGTAATTAATTTGAGGTAGGAGCTTTAGTCTTTAACTAGAACTGTTAAAGTTTTTGCATGTGATACTTTCTCAAAATAGGGCTTCTTTATAATTTTTCATGTCAGATAGTTTTATTTTTGGGTGCTTTTCCCCACAAAGACTGAAGTAGCTGTTTCATGGATCTGTCTCTGGATTATTCCTATTGTAGCAATTATTTCTAAAGATCAAGAACTAGTTAAGGGAAGATATGATAAATTTCCACTGTATCAGGAGAACAATGAAAGCTAAGGGAACTGTGAGTGCTTGATGCCTTCAATTTTACTTTGCTAGTGGCAGCTGAACAGTTAAGTAACATAGTACAAGAAGTGAAGCTTATCTTTACTTCTAATGTGTTTTTAAACTAGTGAAACAAAATGGTAACTGTTTTAGAGCTAACATACCAATGTTTTTTATGATATTGCAGTTGTTACATGTTAATTTATTTTTCCATATTCTGTAAACAAAATGACATAATGAATGTGTGGAGAAAAGCTATACTGATCCATCTGCATTTTCCACTGCAAAGCTGTTTAGAATCTCTCTGCAGTGAGAATTTTTTGCAGTGGTTCTCTAATTTAAATAATTCTCACAACTTCATCCTAGTGTTATCAGACAGGCTGCTCTTGTACATTTACTGAAAGAAAAAGATTGGCTAAAAATAGTAAGATAATAATAAGATAAACATATGCACATTTTTAGTGTTTAGAGTGGTTGATTTATTATGCCTTACTACTTCATATCAGTTCAGTTTCTTTTTTTTGCAATGACTTTCAGCCTGGTATCAGATTAATAATATTTACTGTTCTTTTTCCCTTGTTCACCCATTATCTTTCTATTTTGATTATTTACTGGCTCTGTTCTTTGGCAGTAGTGTTATGTTTTTATTTACTCTCAGTGTTAGTAAATCCAGAGCCACTGAGGCTAAAACTGTAATACAGACTTGTAAATAGATGGGCTTAGTTTACTGTAAATCAGTTGAAGTAGAAAAACCAGGCAGATCTGGCATAACTAGGAAGGTGATTGTTTTGAGTTGCTTTTCATGTGTGCTCAGAACTAGACTGTGGTAGTACAAACTCGTGTACATCCCCTCTGCCACTGAAGCTCTGGCAGGCTGTCTCTGGGCTCCTGGGAAACTAGGAATCATAGCTGGCTTTTTGAGGAGGCTGACTGGACATGCTAATGATTGATTTTCTCATGTACATATTTATTAATCTTGAATTTCAGACATGCAGATGCATAATGTTGCAGTGGGGAAGATTGGACTGTGTTGAGAGTTAAACATCGAATGTTTTGCTTTGTCATATCTGCAGTTCATGGCGGGGTTTGTGTGCTCTTTTTTTTTATTTAATTTTTTTTAAGAAATGACAGAGGAGAGCTTACAAGGCCAAATGTGTGTTTGTGTGATATTTCTCTTTACAGAAACAGATGTGTAAAAGAGTTTACTGTCTTTTATTTGTTGCCATTTACTGCCTGCTAATGCTGTTTTCAAGTGCCGCTTTGGTTTGTTTTTAGAGTTACCACTTTAAAAATGCTTGTCCATTTGTTTTAGGTCAGGAATGCTGAGAAGTAAGGGTGTTTTAAATAAGTGAAATTATCATTTTATGGAAAATAATTGATGAATCATCATATTGTGGTAGATGTTTCTGACCTACTACATTTTAGCCGTGTGGACAGGTTGAAAGATGGCTGTTCTGATTCTAAATTTAACATTCAGAACAACTGCAAAGGGAGAAAAGTTAGAAGGGTGGAAGGGGGCAGGCATAGAAAGGGCTCAGTGCTGACCAGCTGCAAACAGAGCAGATGCTTTGCCTGTCAGCAACCACTTTACTTTAGGAGACCGTGGTCAGAGTGACTTAAACTGTCTTTCTATAACTCTTAGTTAACAAAAGTGTCCATTCCGGTAGTGAATGCTGGATCAGCTATTTGTGTAGTGGTATTCTACTGAAAAAACTTAAAAACTTGATTTGGGCAGGTATGAAAACATTTCTTTGCAGGCAATGTGGTTCTCTTTTGTTTAAAATGATTCTGTTTTCTGACCTGAGAAAATGTGTTTACAAAAAAAAATTACTGACCTTATGGTGCCAC